TTGGGAGGTGGTGAATATGGATGAGATCGATGTCTTGTACGCGGGTACCACTGAAGGAGAGCTCGGACAGGAACAAGAAACTATTGGGTTTGCTAAACACTGCGAGCAGAATAGATCGATCAGCTTCCGATGCACTCCAAAAACTGACACACCAGGTAGAATCTCCTTTCCGGCCAAGTTTAGCCCGTCCTCGTCGCCCATTGACTCCGCCAGTGCAAGCCGCCAGATCTCTGAGGTCCGAAGGATCGTTATGACGCGAACATTGAAGAGGCCTGCTGCAAGTCAAGTGGCAGAGGCGCATATATGCATGCAAGAATACCGTTTTCGCCGAGGAAGTCGGCGATTGCTTGATGGCCCAGCCCAGGTAGATTCGAGAGTCGTTCTTGAAGACGGATCCCAGGCATGAGGGCATCGAGACGTTGCACGAAGGGCTTGATGCCGCGAGGTGACTCCGTGCCGATGGGCGGACCATAGAGTTGGTCTAGATGTGGATGTATGCGCATGTCTGCTCGCAGAATTTGGGTCTACGATACCTTCGAGGCTCCGAACCTTCGCCTTCAAGTCGTTTGTGAGGCTGGTCTTGGAAGCTCGGTTCTTCGGCAGCGCGATAGGCGAATAATTGTATTGCGGTTTTCGGGGGAAATACTGGATCCGTTCGCGTCTGGCGCTGATTTCGAAAGAGCTTTCGTGAACAGATTCGACGGAGCGAGCGTGTTTGGGAGAGCCGCGGAGATCGCTGAAGGAAGAGCGCTTTCGCTTGAGAAGGGGTAGGCGAGACGTCTTGTTTTCAGTGGCCCGAGTACGATGCTCGACAGAGATGGTCAGGTTTTCGCGGAAAGTGTAGGAGGACGGAAGTGTGTGGTCATCGTCGGACTGCGGTAAGTCGTGCAGTGGTTTGCGTTCTCCTTCGTGAAGAGCGTCGTCGAGGATTTGGGCGAAGGAGAAGAGCTTCTTGGCGTCTTGAGGTTGAGTACGGGAGTCGCGGCGGCGGACTTGACGTCGAAGAGAACTGAGGTACGAGGAAGCGGTGATAGCAGGGCAGTACAGAGGATTATTCGCGTCGATGGAGGGTTTCTCGTCTATTGTGGAGAGTGAATAGGTGGACATGGATCAACGAGACGTCGTGGTAAGAGGTATAAGATATTTGGATGCTGAGTGTCACACTTTCCATTTGCTCATCCATCGTCTTATTGTCATCGCTCTCAGTTTCTGGGCACTATTCAAGCTGTGGGACTTCAGTGAAATCATACCCGTAATACTCTGGAGCTGCTGTGAACCGCTATCGGTCTCTGCAAGTTGGCATCCAAGCTATCCGAGCCTAACAGTCGCCCCAACTTGAAGCCCATTCCGCCGAGGTTTCTTACACGAACAATCTTGTCTCGAGAAGCTCAGCAATCTGCCGCCCAGATGGCACAATAATAGTGGACGTCAGGATCCCCCGCGATCTCTTGTGCCAGATACGCGGCCGGCGCATATTCAGACAGCCCGTGCGTCCTCTAGCCTTTCTACGCGAGCCGCAGGCTAACGATTTCCGCGGACACAGACCTGCACGATGAGCGAAGGCCATGCTATAGACGAGGGCACGACGATAGGTGTACGGCCTTGGTATGGCCTTGCTGGTTATCCTCGATCGTCTTATCACTCGCAGGGGAGCCTGTCCGAGCCATTGCAGTGCCTTAGGGGAGAATTCCCGGCGTAGTTCGAACATCGGTGACCCATCGCATCCGTCTTGTGTCTCCCGTGCCAGACGCAACGAAGCAATCACGTAGAGTTGGACAGCGGTGCCGCGAGTTGACCATAGTTGGCAGTGTCTGCTAGTAAGCCGCTTACACTGTCGTTACCCAGAGTCAGTCGCGTCCAGCCATTCTGGTACTGGTACCGGCCATATTGACCGCATTTACAGGATCTCGGTCGCGTCCGCGCTCCTCTGCGTGAGCCTCACGCAGCCGCACTGGACAACTCTCAGAGGAATATCTGCGCAAATTTTATTTCAATAACAAGTGGTCGATGTACTCTACAAGTCCAATATATGTGTCTATCCTATCCGGTTGGTGCTACTTCTAAGTCTGTGGTATTGTACAAATGAATGATGCTTGTCCGAAGAGAGAAAACCGATGCCAAAGATGAAAGATATAATAAAAGGGCGGCGACCTCATTCGCCAGCTGATCTGCCAACGCCCAACGCCGTATCCTGGCCGTTCAGCGACGTAAGCGGGCGGCGGGGCCTCTGGTGTCCACAGCTTGGGCACGCCCCTCCCCGCGAGGGCGACCGTCCGGGCGACACCATGAGCACGTCTACATTCTGGGCAGGGTGAGGGCGCTTCCAGAAGTTCTATGTCAGTCGACGTACGAGCGAGTGGTCGCCGGCCCGTCCCTTTCCCTTGTCTTTTGAAGTGGCCTTCGATTGCGGCTGCATACCGCTATGCGTCAGTATATGCGCCCGTTGAGTGTGACGCACGGTGAATGGCGGCCCCAAGTCCGTCGGGATGCCCACGCCGGTGGGAGCCTTGACCTGCAGTTACGTGCCCAGATGAGCGCAGGCGCATTGTGCACGATGTATGAAAGGCGGACGCACCAGGGCCGCATCACTCCAGCTGACAGGTTTGGTGGTGCCCTTACCCGGGACCTACACGTGCAGGTGAGCAGAGCGTATGCGTCAATCCGTGTTCGCGGGACTCACGGAAGGGCCAGGCGCCGACGGTGCGTCCAAAAAACCGACGTCGCCTTTGGCGTTGATGCCTGGTGCGGAAACGCAAGGACTCGGAGAGTGGGGCGGAGAAGAGCCCGCGGTGGAGGACATCTGTGAATGAGAGTCACCATCCGCCTGTGAATAAGTGGAATCAGTACTAAGAAAAACCGCTCATCTGCAGTGTTAACGACAAAAGACAGCTCGAACTCGTCTGGAGAGACAGGGCGGGGCTGCGTGTGGTCCTCAGCAATGAAAAACATAGCAACGCGGGTACACGTACCAGGCTGAACGCAAGGGCTCCGAAGGACGATTCCGACATCTGCACAGTCCTGTTAGATGTCGCCCGCGTTTTGGGATGACGCAAGACTTGCCTCCACTCCGGAGGAAAGCAAGATGCCGCTGGGGCGGCCCTTGCGGAGGCGCGCGGCTGGTGGAGGCGTGGGACGCGGCGGGGACGGCGACCACGGCGGCCGCTGCTTCATCTACACAGCAGCGACGTAGCGTCAAGACATCACCTCCTCGAACCACGGAAGGGAAACGCACAAGAACGTGGAAGTCCGCCGTCAGAATCGCGGCATGGTCTGCGACCTCCCCGCGAGGCCCGAAGGAGAGTGGGGACGCAGATACCTATGCGACTCCAGGTCACTTCCAATACATGGCAAATCGGAAAGCCGGCGTCCACTACCTCGTCCTGTTGGAAGTGTAGATTTTGAGCCACAAGCACCCACAGCTGGCAGGCCGTACCTGATTGGGCTCCCAAGAGAGCACTCGCAGCGATTCGCCGGAAGGGTCGATGCTGGACCTGGAGGCTGACGAGCTCTCACCATCTGGACTCTGGACGGGTCGAGCAATGCTATTGGAAGAAAAGTAGACTAGCTCGTTGCGTACATACCTGAAAGGCGGCAGTGTTCAGCTCCTGAACGGCCCGAGCGCTGAGTAGAAATTGGACGTCTGAACATACTAAAGTTAGAAGAGAACGCCGACATGTTAGATCATTAAAACGCACCCGCCGCGTATCGCTTTTTGCTCCCTGTAGATTTTACTGTTTTCTTCTTATTTGTATTCCCACTACTAAAAAGTTTGGCATTTGTTAGCGCTTAGCTCAATGTAAGGACAAAAGAACACACCAAGTCATGTACGCCGCTCCACCAGCTTCGAGGAGTGGTTTAAAGACACGGCGAAAGCGGCGGACCATGACGTCCATGTCTTGCTGCTCTTGAACGGAGTAAGCGCCGAAGAATTCTTTGAACCCGCCATCCACTTTGGCTGGGTTGTGCTGGAGATATCGAGGGTGTATCGCCGCGAGAACCACTCTGAGAATTTTATTTGACACGATGACGTTCTTGATAATCTGAAAGGCGATTGAGGTGTTATCGTTTGGATAGCCCAGAGAACCTAGGACATACTGTGGCGTAACCAGTCGGCTTGCCGACCAAGTCGTCCATCATGAGAAGAAAGAGACAACGGTCCAACGCCGATGTGCCTAGTTCGTGATACCAGTCGCGCCGCACGGCATGCATATCAGTAGAACCGCCTTCTTCGTCAGTTGGTGCGCAGCTCTGCCAAATTAGATCTCCTAATTCCGCGAGAGGCGGGGGATCATAAGCAGGATGGAGGGCACAGGCAACTATAGCGGCCTCGACGGCTTCCCTAACGTTCTGATTACCCATAGTCGTGTTGACGCGTTGCTGCGGGTGACGTGGGCGTAGCGCCACAGAAGATCTGGCGAAGGTGGATGGAAACAAAAGAGGCACTTGGGAGGCACAAAGAGGTATGATTTACTAGACAGAGAGTTGCACCGCCACCGAGGTCTTCCCCACGGAGTAAGCATCGGGATCAGCGATTGATCCTTCTACCTTATTAGCGAGACAACTTGAACAGGAGACAACCCCCGATAAAGCTCTGGATCGTATGCAGGAGATAGCCCTTTGGGAGGCTGTTATGATGAAGGATCACCGATAAGAGGCTTTGGACGGCGACACAATTCTTTCTAGTGGAATCTCGTTATTTGAGAACTTCCGAAATCATCATCCAGAATTTTGTCGGCTGCAAGGATAGTATGGTAAAGAGCGGATGTGAGAAAAACTTATCCAGCTTTGGGAATTCGACGCCTCGGTATGCCCAGCTCGTCAAATGGTATCGGTAAATAGTACAAACCAATCCCACAGGTGGATCCACCGCGACACCGGCTCTGCGTCGCAGTGGGGAGGCACCAGCTTGCGGATCGAGTCCGAGGGCAAGAAAGTCCTGCCGCAACCATTTGTGCCGCGCCAAGCTACCATACTATGTAGATGATTTCAATGTTTCTCGTGCTCGCTATAGTTCAGCGGTAGAACGCCCCAGTCCGAGTGATCGACATAATGGGAAGATCGGGGGTTCGAATCCCTCTGGTGGCACTATGGAGCCGGGACCTCGGGCTAAGCCTGGCGACTCGCGTGACTCACAGTCGTAGTCCCTCCTGCAATACTGTGTTTCGAAGGATACCCTCCTTCTGGTTTTTTGTTTATTTCGGGCAAGCCATTTTTGAATGTCGGGATCTATGCTTTTACACTTGACTAGAAACATAACGGTTGTGCGAGTTCAGGACTTTGAATGTATAATATACCCATCCAACTCCAGGAGAGAGCAGATACTTGACCGTATGCCTGGCTGACTCTGTAGTGCAGCGAGATAGCACCTCAAACACCGGGTATGAAGCAAAATAAAGCTGTCGATGTCCTGCTTCTTCGTCAACTCTAGTCGCCATATCTTCCAAATGCAAGGACGCGAACACTTACTCCTTATGGGTAGTCTATCAATGATGCGATGTTTGATTGGACGCCAAGCCACCCAATGTGGATTTCGGTAGATTTCGTTCCATAGGTCATTATAGGGCATTACTAGAAAGCAACATTGATGATGTGCGAAACTTCTGGGATAGACCTCAGTGCCCAACAGAGGCTCGGCGCAGCACAAAGGATGTGGAGCCTACTTACTCCGAGTCCGATTCATTTTTTATCACATTTCAAAAGGATATTACAAAACAAGGCTGGAAACAAGCAAGAAACAAGCAAGATCAAGGGAAGAAAAGTTACTCAGTCTCCATCGGCGGGGAGTCTCTCGAGTCGGCGGCGGCGTCGTCACCAGCGACGGCGTCGGCTTCGCTCTCAACCTCCTCCTCGTCACTCTCGTCATCCTCATCTTCATCTTCGTCCTCATCGTCCTCGCTCTCGCTCTCATTGAAGGTCAGTGAAATAAACTCATCCCCCAGCTGGGCGTCTTCAGCGGACACAGCAGGCGGCCCCGAGTCAGCAGCACCAGAGAGCGGAGCCGTCGTCCCAGTCGCAGTCGCAGCCGAAACCGGAGTCGGGGTTGTCGCCAAAGCAGGCTTGCGGCTGCGGTTCGCCCGGATGACATGCGGGAGCTTGCATCCCTTGATCTCGCACCTACCGCGCTCCGCAAAGTCAGGGCACTCGCGCACGTGCTGCTTATCGCAGTCGAGGCCGTTTGCACAGTAGCCCAGGACCGCGAAGTCGCGGCACACGCCCGTGCGCGCACCGACCCGCACATGCGGAAACGGGCACCCCGCGCGTGTGCAGCGCCCGTTGTTAGCAAAGTGCAGGCAGAGCGGCGTGCGCTCGGGCGTCGGGTCGTGCGAGAGGTCGCACGTCTCGGCGGTCTTGGGGCAGGTGCCGTGCAGGAAGTTCCAGCAGATGGCGATCTTGGCGGGGTCGTGTTGGTAGAGGCAGGTGAGGCCGCGGCTGCAAGTACCTAGAAACAAAGGAAAGAAGAGGGAACGCGAGCGAATCACCGATGGACGCTCAGGAGTGGATCGGTTGGCGGGGAGAGGCTGGCGCACCTGTCGTGTTGAAGCGGGGGCACGGCTTGTCGGAGTACTTGAGACGCTTGCTGGCAAGCCGGCGAGATCTATTGGCGAAAATTAGGAATGCTGAGCTTGTTCCGAGTGGCAGTGGCGGGACGGACTGGTACGGGCGCCGGCTATTGGTCAGCGTCATGTTAACGGGCCCTCCACGGCGTCCGCGAGAAGCTTTAGGCTTGTATACACGGGCGCCAGGGTTTGCCAAGAAGTGAGGTCGCGGTCGAGGAGCTTGTGGGGCAGTCGGCTTTGATGCAGAGGTGGAGGGTGGCTTGGGCACTGGGGGAAGGTTAGCGAGGGAGGCAAGAAAGGTTCGGTGGACACACGATCTTTCCGAACGAGGGATCGATTTGATGATTGGAAAGCCACGCCATTGAGAACGACCTCCTTGACTTGACTTGTTGCTGGGGCGGGTCTAGACGGAGGCTTTGATGTTGAGGGTCGGATGTACTTGTTCTGTGGTGGCCTGTAGTTTGGGTTGACGTAGGTGCTGCTCCTGGGGGGTTGATATGTCGTTCTGGCCGGGTTTGCGTTTGCTGATTTGTGCTGGCTGATAGTGGCTGCAACACGGTAATGAGGACTCGACACAGGGCTACAGGGCTACATACCGGTGAGTCTTGCGATTTCGCTTTTGATTTGCGCTTCGGTGGCCATGGCGGGTGAAGGAGATGGCGGTTGGAGTCAAGGGGAGAGTGCTGGCTCAGCGGCCCCGAAGACTGTGGTAAACCAGCGTCAACATCGTATTTTGTTAGTAGTATTTCATCATCGACCACCAAGCACTCGAGCTCCCCGGCTCTTGATTAAGATTGCTCGCCAGCATGTCGCGCTCGTCCAGAATCAAGATCCTGCTGGTCATCGACGTCCTCTTCTTCTTCATCGAGCTCATAGCAGGTCCTCTTTGGCCTGAGTGGCAATTTGCGACTATTTCTGACTATCTCATTAGGCTATGCCGTCGGGTCCCTCGCGCTCGTGGCAGACAGCTTCCACATGCTCAAGTACGCACCCCCGAACATATATCGGGAGCCTCTCAGCCTCATCTTCCTTTCCAGTGATGTAATGAGCTTAATAGTCGCCCTCTACGCGATCAAGGTCTGTGGAGTCTGATCTCTTTGTCAAATGCCCTCAACTCGTCTAGTTGACTGAGCAAAGCGAGACGGACTCTCGATATTCCTATGGGTGGCACCGTGCGGAAATTTTGGCGGCCTTGGTCAACGGAGTCTTTCTGCTCGGTAAGCCCTGCGGAGCCCCCAATCGCCGGAGGACTGACAGCAAAAATGACTGTCAGCGCTCTGCTTCTCGATATCTCTGGAGGCGCTTGAGCGGTTTTTCAGCACCCCAGGTCCGTGCCAATCGCATGGATGACCCATCGGTCCCTTACTACGCCCCAGAAATATCGAATCCGCGCCTTGTCGTCATAGTTGGCACACTCGGACTCGCCTCAAACCTTGTCGGGCTCGTCTTGTTCCACGGTGTGTCGGGCCGCCGACTTGGCTGATTGAGCTCCTCACGACATGTCACAGAACACGGGCACTCCCACTCGCATGCAGAGCCCAAGAAGGCCATGATTGACCCCGCGCACAGCGCTGCCCCATCCGACGAGAATGGCGTGCCTGCGAAGCCCACTCTCACACGGACTGCCTCGAGTGACTCTGAGGACTACGCGCTCTCGGGACACCCTGTGATGACGCGCGCGTCCATTGTAAAAGGTGCCCTATCTGTCCCCGTTATCACCTCCGGAGTCTGATGCTCTCGAAGCGGCCCACGACATGGCTCGCGCACGTTCGCCGTCTCCCCCACGCGGAAACCTCCGTAACATCTCGCTCGATCTCTCGCGCGACAGCGAGCAGAACGGCACGCCGACGACCAGCGAGGATACACCCCTACTCCTGGAGTCCTCAGCGCACGAGCACTCGGAGGACGAGCATTCGCATGGCCACAAGCACGGGCACTCACATGCGGGTTCGATGAATATGCGCGCGCTAGTGCTGCACGTCCTCGGCGACGCGCTGGGCAACGTCGGCGTCATCGCGACAGGGCTCATCATCTGGCTCACGAGCTGGCCGTTCAAGTACTACTTCGACCCCGCCATCTCCCTCGTCATCACCGCCATCATCTTCTCTTCCGCCCTCCCCCTCGGTATGTCGCCCTATTCTTCGCTCGTCTAGAATTCTTGCGTATGCTAATGGGATGGGTAGTCCGCAGCGCGTCTTTCGTCCTGCTGCAGGGCGTCCCCTCGACGATCTCGCTCGAGCAGGTCCGCGCGGCGATCCTCTCCGTCGACGGTGTCCTCAGCTTGCACGAGTTGCACATATGGCAGCTCTCCGAGTCGAAGAACATCGCCTCCGTCCATGTTCTCGCCTCGCGCGACCTCGACTTCATGCCCATCGCCGCCAAGATCCGCAAGGTCTGTACTACGCTTCACTACATCGCTCTTGCTCATAAAACATCACCCAGGTTCTGCATGACCACGGCATCCACTCGTGCACAATCCAGCCCGAATACTACCGCCTCGGCCCGCCCGAGAGCAGCCTCAAAGGCAGCACCGACACAGCCTGCCTTGTCCTCTGCCCGCCAGAGGAGTGCAACCCGCAAGACACTTCATGTTGTCGTGCGTATCCTTCTCTTTCGAGTCGATTGTTCCTAATTACCATTGCTCATAGCACCCCCGCCCACGGAGGTCTAATCGCACACGTCGTATGGATCTTCTAAAATATTGCATGTATTCTCTACACTGACACGAAATAATTAACCGGTATTTATGTATCTAGTATCTCCTGCATGGGTCGAGTCGTCCTCTGGCTCTACATGTACTATAGCTACGCAGCCCGCACCGCGCCCGCGCTCCTGCGGACTACACCCGCAAGTGCATTGTCCACGTCCGTGAGGCTCGCCTCCTTGCGGAAGACCTCCATGTACACCTCCTCGTCCGGCGCGCCCTGCTGCTCCGTTCCGAGTCCGCGCCGCGCGACATACCAATACTGCGGGTTCTGCCCGCGTGAGAACACCTCCGAGATCTCTGGCTCGCTGTGCAGCACATGAATTCATTAGCCTCTGGTGCCTCTAGAGAACAAGAAAGGCCTACTTCTCGCCGAGGAGCTGGCGCGCATTATAGAGGTGCCCCGAGCGCGACTCGAAGTCCGCGCTACGAATGGTGAACTGCGAAGAGGACAGTGCGTAACGGTCCTTAGGTTGCAGGATCTTAGTTGCAGAGGGCAAGCTGTCGATCGCACTGCGAGAGCCGTCAGCACTCGTTACCATAAGCAAGCAAGAACCGACCTTTGCTTTGCCTCGTCAGCTATCACGGTGTTAATACTGTCCGCAAGCACGGCTGCCTCATCTGCCCAGGGACGAAACGCAGAGGGCTCAAGCTGATCATCCGAGCCGCCGAGCCCTATAAGCGCTATGAGCACGCGGTCTCTCTGAGGAAATGGTGATGAGAAGGACACGGATTGCGATCGAAAACGACTGACTGCAAGATAATGGAGCCTGCGCCTCTGCGTGGCCTGTGGATCTTCCGGGCTGGACAGGTGCACCGTCGTA